AAACTTTAAAGGCTGAACGAATGACTGACAGCCACAGCGGAGAAAAGAGTTTGTGTGAACTTTAATGTAAGGACTTAAATATTCATATGTAGCTCACATTAAGCTATGGTATGGCTTCAGAAGTAACACAGAATAATTCGCACAATTGAAAAAATAAAATAAAATCTCGGATTTGGATCGGCCCTCTCCGACCGATACCCGATCCTAGAAAAATGGCACTATCGGAGCCGATACCCGATATGAATATCGGATCGGCGCATCCCTATTTTCTACAGGAGGAAAACGCTTAACGAGAGACTTTGCGCATGCGTTCATATTCTGCTGTGCTGTGGCCACGGATTTGCGGGTCTTGTCTTTTTCTTGCAGGACCCTGTATGTTATAGTACTAAATTAGTTTTAATCATTAAATCACCACCACAGCTTCTCGTCTCCATTGGCAACACGCACTATTTGTGTCGATTGCAAGTGACGTCGCAGGTATCGGAGAGTGCAAGTGGCGATTGCAAGTGACATTGTCATTTAGTTTCTTTTGTCTTGTCTTCACCACCTGGCTATACTGTTGTAAAATGTTGAGAGATTCAAACAAAAAGTAATCAATAAATAGAACAAAATAAAAAATAAAAACGACTGCAAGTGATGTCAATTGCGGAAGCGCAAGTGTCTGAGAATGCAAGTCTGAGAGTGCAAGTGCAAGTCTGCAGCCAGACCCTTCTCGTTTATTGGACTACTTGAAGAAGCATGTGATGGATGTTTACCATAAGCTAGCTGCCGCATGGAGATGGGCATGGTGTCCTCCTGACTGAGCGCCAACAGGCCTTCATTTGCTTTCCTGGGAGAGATACAATAACAGACGTTAACAACAACCCTCCAACACAACACCAACACTGAACGCCAATGTGATTCACCAACGGGATATTTTAGTTATTTAAAGACCCCATGGAATCTGAAGAGGGATTGTTTAATAATGTTTTCTGTCTTGTGTTGAGTGTTTCCTAGTGAAACAGGAAGATTGGGTGAGACAGCGCAACAGTTTGTGTTTTTTTTTACAGAAATTAAAACTTTTGACTGACAGAAATACTTTGTAACATTATAAATGTCTTGACTATTTCAAATAAATTCTGTTCTTTTGAGATTTCTAATCATCAAAGAATCCTGAAAAACAAAATAATGTATCACGGTTTCCACAAAAATCTTAAGCAGCACAACTGTTTTCAACACTGATGATAATAATAAATGTTTCTTGAGCACCAAATCAGCATATCAGAATGATTTCTGAAGAATCACGTGTCACTAAAGACTGGAGTAATGGCTGCTGAAAATTCAGCACATTTCAAATGTGTTTATCTAAAAGTGAAGTGTAGGTTCAAGTAGTGTTGTCACGGTAACAAAATTTCAGTATTCGGTACCGATACCAGTGAAAATCCACGGTTCTCGGTACCAATTTCGGTACCAAAGCAAAACACAAAAACATGCTAATTGAACAACATTTTTATTAATAACGTTAAACAAAAATTAAATGTACAAAACCAATGCCATTCTTTATACTTATTTAAAAGTGTTTCACGTTTTCCCACAAGTAATAAAAGTAAGAAAAAAGTAAACAAGTTTCACCCAAAAGTTTAGTCATAGTTCTGCTGCCACTGAAAAACATCTGTAAACTGTTGTCTGTTTTAGGGTTTGCTGGTGTGTTTCAGGATCTTCCTCAGTCTTCACCTGTAAAAGCAAAATATAATATACTGGTACCGTAACGTTTTCATTTTTTTAGTACCGACTTGGTACCAAAATACCGGGTCTTTTGACAACACTAGGTTCAAGTGTAAACTAGCATTCACATGACCTCAAAGCTAACACACAAAATACAGCCCTGCCACTGTTTAGTGTTATATTAATGCAGTCAATGCTCAAGAACACGATATTCCATTATATTTAGATTTATTGATTATGTGGCTCCTTTCAAACACAGAAAATGAACAGTTAATTCTTACTTCAGCAATCTGTAGTAACCATATCTGAAAGCCTCCTGAAGCAGCACAGAGAGCACAACCCCGAAGATGAGCAGCCCTCTCTGCTGAGCTGCACTGTTCTTGTTGCTGATCTGAACTGTGATGAACCACACAAGAGAGGACAGCAACAAAGACACCAGCCAGAAGAAAGCCCTGAAACAAACACAATCATGTTACAAATACTGTCACATATTTAAAAAAAAAAAAAACTGCTCAAAAATTCCCAGTCACCAAAACGTGCTTCCCTCCCCATTCCATTGCTTGCTAGTGCTCTTAAAGGAGTAGCTCGCTCAAAAAAAAAAAAAATCCACCCTCTTGTTCAAAATCTACACTACTGTCAAACGATTGAGGTCGGTAAGATTTTTGTTTTTAAACAAGTCTTACCAAGGCTGCATTGATTTGATCAAAAATACATTGAGAAATATTATTACAATTTAAAACAAATAATTTCTCTAAATACATTTTACAACCGCAAGCTGATTTTTTCAGCAGCCATTAGACTAGTGTTTAGTGTCATATGATCTTCAGAAATCATTCTTCATTGTGCCGTTTCATATTTTTGTGGAAACTATTTTTTTATGAATATAAACTTTAAAAGAACGTCATGTAAAAGTCTTACCCTCACTTTTAATCAGTTTAATGCATTCTTGCTGAACACAATTATTAAAGAAATCTTACTGACCCCAAACTATTCGTTTAAATATCTTTCAATTTCCAAACTTCTCTTTGCATTTAAAGTTGTATCTTGTAATGATATTTCTAAGCCTCAGATCCTAGTGATTTGTGTAAACAAGCAGCAGATTTGAAGGCAGTTCTGAGCCCAGATACAGTGATGTATCCATAGACTATATAAAAACAGGCTGTATCACACTGAACCGCACTCACACCGGGGGATGAGGGAAGCCCATCTGCCCAGAAACCTACCCTGCTATGAGGAAGATCACGCGCAGCGGGTCCCTGGCGATTGTAAACATGAACAAAGCGACTGCTGGCCCGAAAGCGATGAACGTACAGCCGAAAAACACCGCCACTGTCATGATGGAGCTCGGCTAACCTGCTAATTCACTCAAATGACTGCCGCTTCACACGGTTAAGTGCCCTCAGAGGCTATCAACACACTTCATCCATGAGTCTACGGCTTTTAATCGCTTCGTATAAGCACCATATACCAAGAGTTAACGAGGCGTTTATTGTGCCAGTTTTCTTCGAAATAGGTTGACTGGGTTCAGCTCTGCGCTCCAAACAGTCCAGCACAACGTCTAAGGTTAACCTACTTCCGGTTCCTTGTCATGTGACCCGATGTGTTTGGGATCAGTTTTCTTACCTCACCCACTGAATTCCTTTTCTTTCCCGCATTATTTAACCCTGCTATTGTCCTACGAACTTCACCCAAACCTATTTTAAATGCATGAATTCTTGTTTACAGTACAACATATCTAAATATCCACATTAGACACATAAAAAAAAGATGTTCTAAAAAGATTAATATGGTCAAATTAGCACAATAAAAAAAATGTCTCTTTTCCTGGTTAATTTCATTTTTGGCATTACAACACCAAATCATGAACAGTGTTTCATACACACTCACATTAAAGCAAATGTTAATTCATTTTAATAAGTTATTGCAAATGTTCCAAAGTCATTCTTTATATTTGTATTCATATACTTCAATATTCATTCCATATAACACATTTAAATAAATCTACTTTTCTTGTCTAAACCTACGCAATATAATAAATATATAAACAAAAATCCTCCAACACATTTTCTTAATCACACACGCACAAGCACACACAACATATAAAACTGAGCAGTAACAGCAATATAAGCATAAGGCACTGTGGTGTGACATTTTCTTCTAAAACATGTAGCTGCTACTCTTCCCCAGTTTCAAGTATCATACGGTTTATCATTCATCAATCAAATATATAAACACATTTTGTCAAGACAATGATATTCCAAATGATGAAGACCATGACGTAAATTAAAACTTGTGCATCAGCTCCATAACAGCTATAGATGTGCTCTGGCCAAAGATAAAAGCTCCAGTAAGGACAGTCACCACACCCCACCCTGTCAAGAGAGCTCTGGAAGGAACAAACTAAATAAATTAAAGAAGATGTGTGTAAAAGGGAGAAAGTATTGTTGAAAGTAATATCATGTATTTTTAGACACACTATAAATATAAGAAAACGGCTAGAATAAGAGACCAGATGAAAGTCAGGAAATTAAAATGACTTGACTTGGCTCTCTTTAAACATACATAAGATGTTACACACCTGATCCTGTGATTTATAGGCTCTGTCTGCATTGCAAAAAATGAGACACAGCCCTACCAACAAAAAAAAAAAAACAGTTTGGTCAATATTATCTCACAGTCTGTTTGAATGTATATGTATGTACACTATCATTCAAAAGCTTCTTTTTCCCCCAAATAAATTAATACTTTTATTTAGCAAGGATGCATTAAATTAATTAAAATTGAATACTTTTACATTGTTACAAAAGATGTATATTTCAAATAAATGCTGTACTTTTAAACTTTCTATTTATCAAAGAATTCTGACAAAATGTTTCATAGCTTTCACAATAACATTAGGCAGCACAACTGTTTTCAACTGCAATAATAATAATATGAAATGTTTCTTGAGCACCAAATCAGCATATACGAATGATTTCATATAAGATGATGGATCATATGACGCTGAAGACTAGATTAACGGATGCTGAATATACAGCTTTTGCCATCGCAGGAATAAGAGTTGAATTGTATTAATATTCCATAATATTACCGTTTTTACTGTATTTTTGATCAAATAAATGCAGCCTTGGTGAGCACAAGTATTAATAAATCTTACCAACCCAAAACTTTTGAACGGTAGAGTATGTATGCATGCTTAATGTGTGTTGGTGAGATTGTAATTGTTTAATTGAGTGTCTCACCAGGAAAAATAAATATAAAGAAAGCGCTAATTCCCCCGATTACGCTGATGACCTCACTCATGTCTGGTATGTAGATGGCGATGAGGAGAGTCACAGTGATCCAGAGAATTGTTAGAATCAGACGGCACCGACTCTCAAACACAGATGTAATTATGGCCCGTCGTTCCCAAAAGCGCAATATTTGAGTTAGAATCACTGACCTGTGAACAAGACGCAATCATTGACACATGAGTGTGTGTACACAGTGTGTGTGTAGGGAGCTATATGCATATTTATTTGTGGTTTACGGTACCTTCCCAGCAGCAGTATTATAGGATAGATGGTGACGATCGAAATCCCAAACAGCAGCCTAGCAATAATCATCACTACATCATTTCCAGGATATGACATCAGGATATCTGATGCTACTTCTCGCCCAAATGTAAGAAAACCAAACACACCTGCCATATTGCAACAAAGTGTCAGTCTCTTATTTAAAACTTAAAAACTTACAGGAAAATATTTATAATAATAACACTATAGATTGAGCTCTACAAATATGACTCACCTGTGAGAGTATAAATAATCAGGCAGAAAATCATAGAAGTGACTGAGATGAAAACCCAGTGTGTAATCTTTTTGTTTTCCATGCTGCTGTATATAGCAATACAAGCTTCATGACACTGTAATATAAATAAAGATTACAATTTATGAGCTTTCAGCAATCACAATGGTCAAAAGTACAACAAGAAATCTGCAAATAGTGCACCATTGATTTAAAGAAATAATAATTTTATCTCTGCACAGAAATAATATCTGCATACTGATTGTTATCTAATAATTTTTTAGAGAATCTGACCTGGAAACCAAAACAGATAGTAGGGACCACACTGAACATAGAGGCCCATGAGTCCAATCTGTTACAAATAACCCAAACAAACCACTGATATTAAACTCTTATGAATAATATATACATGAACTCAACTTTATGGAAAACATGTTCTTTACATATAACTCACCCTTGACTGTGCTCTGGTGTGAGGTCTGCTGTGTGCTAATCTTTTAGATAATATTTTACGATAATAGCTACACTCAGGTTTGTAGCAGCCAGAGTTCCCAATACACTGGACACAAAGCATTAAACACAAAGAAACATTAAGAGTTAATGATGGATACAGCAGGTTAAAGTGGGACAGTGGTGGGAGATTGAGGGAAATATGTAGTACTTTTCACTAGACATTAAAAAGGCTAGAAGGTGGTATAAAAAAAGATTTAGGGAGTAGCAGATATATGTGTCAGCTTTTAACACACCTGGTGTATTTCTGGATGCCGATCTCTTTGGGTACAGAGAGTGGAAGGATGATAATGAGGCACATGACAAAGAGTGCAAAACGGTGATCTGTGTACCAGTGATATGGCATCTCTCCTTCTGTATTTCCCGTCACTGTCTCATACAGAGACAGACACACTGAAACACACAGACACTTATGTTCAAAAGGGTAAAAGATACTTTTGTGTCTTTGTCATGTGTATATATACACATTCACCTGTTACAGTTACTCACACTGAAACATGATGACTCATACGGAAAAACACAAAGCACACACAACTTACGCTTATTAGAGGAAAATGTTTGATTGCTTTAAGCCTCAAAATCTTCATATTCTTGTTCAGCTGTATCCTCATAAGCACTGCTTTATAAGGCTTTATGTGGGCTGCTTTTACTAAAAGTTCCTTGCAGATTATAGTTTCCTTTAAAAAACCTACCATCTTTCAATTAAAAACAGTTTTTGCTGCTTAATATTTTTTGTGGAAATTGTGATACACTACCATTCAAAAGTTTGGGATAAGTAAGATTAAAAAAAAGAATAAATAAATAAAATAAATAATTTTATTCAGCAAGGGCACACTAAATTGATCAAAGTATCAATAAAGACATTTATAATGTTACAATAGTTTTCTATTTTAAATAAATGCCATTCATTAAACTTTCTATTCCTCAGAGAATACTGACAAAAAGTATTACTAAAACGGTTTTTAACATAAGAACTATTACAGAGCCCAAATCAGCATATTAGAATGATCATGTAACACTGACTGGAGTAATGACTGCTGAAATTTCAGCTTTGCCATTACAGGAATAAATTACATTTTAAAACATATTAAAATAAAAAGCAGTTATTTTAAACTGTAATAATATTTTACAGTATTACCGTTTTACTGTATTTTGATCACAAATGTAGCCTTACCGAATATAAGAGATTTCTCTTCAAAATCATTAAAAAAATCTTAATCAAAACTTTTGACCAGCAGGCTACTGAATGTAATAATATCTCAAAGGATGGTTTGAAATATCACACAAATGCTTGTACAGCAAGATCAACAAGTTTTCAGTGGTTTAAGATCATCTTTACAAAAGTAATATGAAAAAATAAATACATAAATAAAATAATTTGGAAAAGAAAAGAAATAAACCAGCCTAAGTTTGTTTGGTCACTCAGCCGGTTTAGCTGGATGGCCAACTGAATCAGAATCAGAATCAGAATGAGCTTTATTGCCAGGTATGTTTACACATACGAGGAATTTGTTTTCGTGACAGAAGCTTCCACAGTGTAACAGAATGACAGTGACACAACAAAAAAACACAGATAATAAAAAATAAAAATAAATAAAAAATAAAAAATAGAACTTATTAGAGATAAGTAAATAAGGAATAAAAATATACAAATCGACAATTGTATGTACAGGTATATAACAATAGACAGTTGTATGTACAGGTATATTATGTGCAAATTGAAATGTAGACTGAGTATGTGTGTTAGATAAATAAGTGTATGAGTGTATAAATAGTGTGTGTTCCACAGTTATTGTTAAGTGTTCATGAGATGGATTGCCTGAGGGAAGAAACTGTTCCTGTGTCTGGCCGTTCTGGTGCTCTGTCAGGTCTTCCAGCCTGACAAGTTATTTTTGTTGTTAGTAGGATTATACCTGTGCGCGTGCCTAGAGCAAAAATGACTTAACACCTATCAGAATTACAACGCACCATCTCCACAGTGATGGCTGTGTTCACGCCGCCAGCCTTCTCAAAAGCCCATGGAAAGTTAACGAGTCCCGCGCCGAGGGCTGATTTGAGCACGATGAAAATGGCCCCAAACGATCCGAGTCGCGGGACGTCCGAACCCCGCGCAGGCCTGGACAGCAGACTGATGCTGCGGATACTCTCTCTGGCCAGTTCCTCCATGCTCGGTGCGAAAGACGAAAATGATCACAATTCTCCAGCTCTGTTGTATTCTAACACGAAAACGATTTGGAAGCTTCCCTCTGGAGCGTTTGCGTCCAAAGCATCCGCACTTGTTCAGTTTAGTATAGTGAGTGAGGCTGTCTC